AACGCCGCCGATGGATTAAAGGGCCGTGTTGTCGAAGTGTGTTTAGCTGATTTACAAGGATCCGAAGACCACTCTTCCAGAAAGGTCAAGTTGAGAGTAGATGAAGTTCAAGGTAAGAACTTATTGACCAACTTCCACGGTATTGACTTCACCACCGACAAATTGAGATCTTTGGTCAGAAAATGGCAATCATTAGTCGAAGCTAACGTTACTGTTAAGACTTCCGATGATTACGTCTTGAGAGTTTTCGCTATTGCTTTCACCAAGAGACAAGCCAACCAAATCAAAAAGACCACTTACGCCCAAACTTCCAAGTTGAGAGAAGTCAGAAAGAAGATGATTGAAATCATGCAAAGAGAGGTTTCCAACTGTACTTTGGCTCAATTAACCTCCAAGTTGATTCCAGAAGTCATTGGCCGTGAAATTGAAAAATCAACCCAAACCATCTTGCCATTACAAAACATCCACATTAGAAAAGTCAAATTATTAAAGCAACCAAAATTCGACTTAGGTTCCTTATTAGCCTTACACGGTGAAGGTTCTACCGAAGAAAAGGGTAAGAAGGTCTCTTCCGGATTCAAAGATGTTGTTTTAGAAACTGTTTAAATTATTTTGCATAAAGTGACCTTTGAGTCAATTATTGTATATTTAACGAAAAAACTTATTTTTGTTGTATGTTTAGGGTGAAATTATTCAGTTTCTTTTGGGTTATTTTTTCTAATTTTATGTCATGAAAGAAAAAAATCTTGTATATTGCTTATATTAATGCTACGTCGTTTATTATTGTCTTGTAGAGGTGTTGTACTTCACTGTTTATCGTATCAAAAAGGTGCTCGGCATCTCTGCGGATCACTCACATTAACGAAATGGGTCGCAGCGAGAATGATCAAATTACGTCTTTTGCTTCCAATCCTTTTTTTAGGTGTATATTAGTAACTAGTAAGCCAATCATTCAACATAGTAATGAGTGATAACCTGTTTGATGATAATGATGATGCCTGGTCTTATTCGTTTCCGCCTTCAGCAGAATCATTGGCTTTAAGTAATAAGAAGGCAAACCCAAACGATAATAATGACGTTTCAAAGTTGGATAGCGAATTGAATTCAATCATTCAATACGGTGAAGATGACAAAGATGTCTTTATCGATAGTGATGAATCCAAAAATCATACAATTGCGCAGAATAGATCAAAAACCAATCAATTGCCGAGTAGACTTACAAGCAAGAAAGGACGATTATCGCGTACTTCATCGACTTCTTCAGTTGGGAGTTTAGAAGAGCCGAAAGAAGCTAAAAAGGATCATTTGCAAACAAATGGAAATGGATCTCATGCTTCTTCTTTGACATCCCTTTCGTTGCAATCGCCGTTTTTCGTGAAATCTACTCCAGCTAATCCACATACTACAAAGGAAGACGCTAATTCTATTATCTCAAGAGAAGCAGGTCAGGGATCAGGCTTTTCTCTTGATTCTAATTTCAATAGCCAAAGTACACCGGTAACTTCTTCTGCAAGATCTAACCTTTCAAATAATATAATTACCCATGATGCGAATGAATTGCAAAATTCCGCTGGCTCTCGAGGAGAAAACTCCGATATGGATAAAGGCAAGTCATCTAAACTTGATCATGAGGGATCTATCGATTCTTCTTCGCCAAAGATTATTACTTATCGTAAATCGAAGAGAACAATTAGCGAGGGAAATTTCCAGAACATATTGGAACAGTCTGTGAAAGCTACGCCAAAAGAAAAGTTTGATCCGAAATTGTATGTTGATGAAAAATTTATGGACACAGACTATAGATATGCTACAACTAAAAGAACTGCAGAATTTCATCAGCTATTTAGATCACTTGATTTAACTGATAGACTTCTCGACGATTTTTCGTGTGCATTGAGTAGAGAGATATTACTTCAGGGAAGAATATACGTCAGTGAAAACAATGTGTGTTTCAGTTCAAATTTGTTGGGGTGGGTTACAAGCTTGATTATTCCTCAAGAGGAAATTATCAGAATCGAAAAAAAGACTACTGCAGGGTTATTTCCTAACGGTATATCAATTGAAACTGCAAATGGAAAACATAACTTTGCGAGCTTTATTTCCAGAGATGCAACTTTTGAATTCATGAAAGCTATATGGCAAGGAACCACAGGGAGAAAAATGGAAATTATTGAGGAAAAGCCTATGGAAAAATCAGGCTACACATTAGATAGTAATGGTATTGTCTCTGTAGAAAATGAATGCCTCGATTCTCCAGCAAAATTAGAGTCATACATTTTATCTATTGATGGTGATGAAGAAAAGCATGGTGATAATGAATGTGAGTCGGATCATAGTGGTTCAGACGACACCTCAGATGATGATACGCTGATTAAAAAAAGCAATTCAACTAAAAGGAAAAAGGTGGAAACTGTAGATATGAAGATTTTAAAATTTAAGCCGGATTCAAAGTATATCAATATGGGTCCTGATTTTCATCCCCCTACCAAAGTAAAAGATTATGCAAAAGAGAACAACGAGACAGAACTATGCAATGAAACTATCAATGCACCTTTAGGTATAGTTTTCGATTTATTATTCGGAAGCACAAATACAGCATTTCATAAGACTTTTCTAGAAAATCATAATGCCTCGGAAATTTCAGAGTATGATAAATTTCACCCAAAGCAGGACGATCCTAGCAAACTTGAACGTAAAATATGTTACAGGAGAGCATTAGGATATTCGATTGGCCCCAAATCAACACGATGTGAGGTCGAAGAAACGATAGAGAGTTTGAACTTTGCTGAGAACGTGGTTGTGATTTCTAGTACTGTGACACCTGATGTTCCCCTGGGTAATTCGTTTTCAGTTAAAACCAGATATTGTTTGTCATGGGGTGTACAGAATTCAACAATATTAAGAATATCCTATAATATTAAATGGACAGGAAGCTCATGGATTAAAAGTGTTATCGAGAAGCAAACGTTGGCGGGCCAGCAAGAAGCTACTAAAGATCTAATTGCAGCTTTGAAAAAAGAAATTGATGATAATACTTATTATACTGAAGGTCCAACTGTACCAAAGAATGTAGCTGAATTGGCTGAAAACAAACCTATACCTGAAATAGCTGAAGAAGCAATCACCTCGGATAAATTAGAATCTGAAAAGAAGACTTTCCAATTTTCTCTTACAAGCAGATTTATCAAAAAAAATATCGTACCGATAGTCTATGTGTTTTTCACGTTTCTTGTTATTTTGCTGGTATTGCAAATGAAAATAATCAATGGAGTCAATGAGGCAAATGAGATTGCAAGGAGTCAGCTAGTTGTCAATTCATATTTAGTATTTACTGTACAAGCATTAGCGAACGATAAAAGTATGAGTAAAGCTAGGTATCGGGAAAGAATTAGGGCCATGGAGAACGATAGCAGCCCATTATGGAAATGGGTAAATGACAAATACGGCACTAAATTAAATAACCTTGAAAAAATTGAATACTTAACGTATCAATTAAATTCATTGTATCAGAAACAGATCGATCCCCAAAATAATGAATTTGTCGCTAATATTGAAGAAAATCTTCAAGACCTAAAAAGACTGGTTCAAGACTTCAATTACCAGGAATTGCTTAATGCTGAAAATTTAAGAAACATGTTAGGCGATTTAATCTAGACATGTTAAAATTTATATACAATCGTAATAATATGATATTCATTTAAATATAAAAGACTATTTACATAATTAACTTAGTTGTAGCATTTAGACTATATACAATATGCGATCAAGCTAGAGTTCAGTCAACAAACTCTTAATTCTCCATCAATATCTTGTGTTTCAGTTTTTTCAATAACATTGACATCCTCGACTGTATGTACTATTATTTTGTCATTATTTTCATTTAATTCAAATATGAATATTCCGCTTATAACACGTTCTAATCTATTATGTTCTTTAGTTAAACCTATGAGACCTGTTGTTAAGTGAGACAAGGTGGCAGTAACAGAAGGTGACGATTTAATTGATTGCTCATTTGAATTATTCACAAGCTTTTGGGTGTCAAACTTTGACCACTTGTGAGACCCTAACTTTGCATCTGAGGTCGAATGATAATTAGAAGTATCGTTACTATCTCGATCTTCGCTAATTTCATTAGGAGACAAATGATCGCATCCTTCTAAACAAGTATTCCAACGCACGTATATTTTAGTGCTATGAGGATACACACCTTGCATCTCTGGACCTAAATCACTTTTAGCTGCACTAGTCTTTATCGATTGAATATGTAATTTCACTTTGGGATTAAGGACTATGGATGTAAGAATAAATTGTAACGTTTTGCAAGTAGTATAATATGAGACATGGCCCTTTAAAGTAGGGAAGTAAGCATTGAATTCTTGGAAATGAGTAGGACAAATTCTCAAATGAACACTGTTAGATATGATTTTTTTCGGCAATGACTTATTAAGGATATTGGGTATGAGTGCTCGTAGTTCATCTGTCATAGATCCAAGGTTTGCTTTTTTAAGTTGATCTTTTGGGTTAGGCTTCAAGTCCTCGGAAGACAGATCAGATCTGACTGGACTAGAACCCGTAAATTTGATTTTAGCATGATTTTCCACATTAGTTGGCTTGAATATGTTCAGATTGCAGAAAAGTGGTGGTGCAGTCAAGGATGGTACTGGAGATTCTAATTTAATGTTGCGGAGACTAGACACATATTGCTTATTACATAAATTATATTTCAAAAATGAGTGCCGCAATAGTACCTTAGAACCTCTACGATAGATCATTGGAATTAATTATGTAGTTTAATATGGTTTATCTTTTAAATCTAGAAATCCTTATGCTATAAGGTGAACTATTCCATAGTAGCACACGTGATTTTGCTACAAAGGCCTCTGGCAAAATACTGTTAGACTATGTGGCTACAGACTATATGGCTACAATCCGTTTACTAGTTGTATAATAAAATATTTTTATTAATGTTACTCGTATACTCTTCTATATATCCATATGGATGTCAAATACCATACAAAGTGAATTCGAAAGTGCCTGCTCAACACAGAGGTTAACTAGAATTAAATTCATTCAATTATTTTTCTTCCTTAATGTCCAATGGAGTTAAACGCAAGTAAGGCTTGATTATTCTGAACTTAGGGAACAAAGTCTTAGCGTCCTCATTAGAAATGGTTGGATGGACAATAACATCATCACCTGGAACCCAGTTAATTGGAGTAGTGACCTTGTACTTGTCACCAGTTTGTAAAGAGTCAACAACTCTTAAGACTTCAGCGGTGTTTCTACCGGTAGAAGCTGGGTAAGCTAAGATTAATCTGATCTTCTTAGATAGGTCGATAATGAAGACAGATCTGATGGTGAATTGAACACCCTTGTTGTCAACGTTGGTAGCATCTTGGTAGTCAATCATGTCGTATAAGTGTGCAACCTTTCTTTCAGGGTCAGCAATGATTGGGAAGCTTAACTTGGAACCGGTAACTTCATCGATATCCTTAATCCAAGCCTTGTGGGATTCGGTACCGTTAGCAGACAAACCAATTAACTTAACGTTTCTCTTGGTGAATTCTGGCTCTAACTTAGCGAAAGCACCCAATTCGGTGGTACAGACTGGTGTGAAGTCATCTGGGTGGGAGAATAAAACAGCCCACGAGTCACCAATGAAATCGTGGAAGGAAATCTTACCGTTAGAGGTTTCAGATTCGAAGTCTGGGGCAGTAGAACCCAATCTTAAGGTATTGTGTTGTTGAGAAGACATTTTTTGTTAATTGTAATTAATTCTAATCAATTGATTAATATAAATTATAATTCGGACTATTCTGGGTTAATCGGAGGCAAATACACCCAGCTTTATATATGGCTTGATCGAAGTTGAAAAATCACCACTTCGCACGTGCCATGATTCGTATTTTAAATAAAGCAATAACGATAAAACATGTGATCTTGATAACAAGCATCCTCCTGTCTCGAACAAAGAAGCATTTAGCCATAGTATGGTAACTAGTGTGGTCCTCGTTTAAGGCAGACTAAGTCAAATACGAGTGACAAAAGCGAATAAAATCATGCAGAAAGTTTGAAGAGTATTCTTATTACAGATATGTAGGTCATATATAGGGAATTTGCAGCTTCTAATTATTGACATCTCCATTTTTTGAAACTAGATCATCATGCTCTATGTCTTCGGCTTCTAAATCGACACCAAAATCATCTAGGGTTTCGCCTAAGTCGTTCATCCATTCAGACCTTGTCATGTTATTTCTGGGGTCAAGACGTCTTCTTAAGCTAGGCATATCTTGAAGTTCTGTGTCAGATATTTCAATATCACTATCTACCGGGGCCGCTGGTTCCTGATGGCCCCCATCTGGGGGCCATGGCAAGCCCAATTGATCATCGGACATGAATTCGTTTTTTTGGAAATGGTAGCCGTTTTCTCTGGGACCACCCCATGGGAGTAGCCACATCCATGGGTAGCCACATGCATTAATCATATTTGAAAGTACGCCTAAATCATAGGGGAAAACAATATCATCGGACGTGAAATCTTTAGGGACTATGCTGTTTTCATTTGAATCAATGTTACTAGAGCTCTCGTCTACCTCGTAGTATCTGGTTGTCCTGTTCCATGATACCAAATGCGGCATCTCCTTTCCGTGTAACTTGAAGTAGTTTTTCCGTATTTGCAACCACAATCTTTCAGTATGGAATTGGGAGTCGACTCTCTCCATTTCCCATACTTCTATTTGTGTCATACCTCTAAATAACAAGTTGATCATACAACGAACGAACAAGACCACGATTGTAACAAATAAGAAAAATGTCACTGGAAGTAAAAATATAACCGCAAACATTTCTTTCTTATCGATCAAATAGGAAGGCAAATCACTGTTATCATAATAATGGAGTACTCTTTTACCCAATTGGAAGAGAACATATATCATTCCTACTATCAAAAACAATAAAAACCGTAAGAAATGAGGAAGGTTACCATGTCCCACGCAATTGTACGTCCATGGGCAATGGTGGTCCATTTTCAACACACACTTGTTGCAAGTTTTACAATGATGCGACCTCTCTGGCTTATAATTTTGGCATTTCTTACACCATCTTCTCCATTCTCCTGCCTTAGGTGTAAAGTTCTTAGGTGGGGATCCTGGATCAACAACAATAGCCAAATAATATGACAACCATAGATTGCAAACAAAAATTTCATATACTATTTGTTCGGTACTTGTCAAGTTTGTTCTGAATACGAAGTAATGGGAACCATATGCTATCGTAGCTATAAGCACACATGGTATCTATCAATCGTTAGAATTTGCTTTAAATATTTTGAAATTCTAAATATTAACTCTTTTTTTTTATTCAAACAAATACATACTATTACACCAAGAATTGGCCACTTCAATTGAACGGCCATAATGTCTTGTCAGTGTATACGGTATACTTATCGTGAATCAATAAAATCTATATGAAAAATAAATTATGACACAAAAGAGACGTCTTGATTCTGAGTGCGGTGGCGATTAAGAAAGTATTCTCTAGCAATACTAGCTGTATATAGTTTCAAATATATAAGCTTAGAACTATCGATCATATACAATGGTATGTTGACATGATGTAATAATGAATGGGTAATATGGAATTAACATACTAATACTTTAATAGACTTCTATCGGTACAGGTTACGATTTATCAAATAGTGTTTTTTCACCAGGTACGTAGGCGTTAAAGAGGAACAATTTGCTTCTAAGAAGGAATTGTTGTAATATGAATGATATACTAACTAGGATATTCAGATGGAAGAAACTTTCAAGTGGAATATGCCATGAAGGCAGTTGAAAATGGTGGTACTTCTATCGGAATTAAATGTAAAGATGGTATAGTGTTAGCAGTTGAGAAGATCATAAATTCCAAATTATTGGTCCCAGGAAAGAATAAGAGAATCCAGACAATCGATAGACACATTGGTGTTGCATATTCAGGGCTTTTACCTGATGGACGTCATTTTGTAAATAGAGGTAGGGATGAAGCACAAAATTTCAAAAACATATACAAGACCCCCATTTCTGTTCCGCATTTGATGGACCGTTTGGGAATCTATATTCAAAACTACACCTGTTACAATTCAGTAAGACCGTTCGGAATTGTGTCTATTGTTGGTGGAGTTGACGAAAATGGACCACATTTATATATGATTGAACCAAGTGGAACATGCTGGGGTTACACAGGTGCTGCCACCGGTAAGGGAAGACAAACTGCCAAGTCTGAATTAGAAAAATTGAACTTTGAGGAGTTGACAGTTAAAGAAGCTGTAAAAGCTGCCGCTAAAATTATTCATCAAGCACACGAAGATAATAAAGACAAAGATTATGAATTAGAAATTTCATGGTGTTCAAAAGAGGAGACTTCATGCAGACATGAATTTGTCCCCGATGCGTTATTGCAAGAAGCCATTAAGTTAGCTCAAGAAGAAGATGAAGAAGACGAAGAAGAAGAAGACGCAGAAATGGAAAGCTAGTTGTTTTTGTATTGGTTAAACCAACCATACAGTAGTTTTAATATTACATTCAATAGTTATATAGTCCATAATATAAAGGTTAGATTACGATTTACTGTTGTCTTAAAGTCCAACCAATATGTAACGAATTTTTTTAGTGTTTACGCGCTTTGTTTGGAAACTAAACATATTTATGAAACAATCTTTAAACAAGTTAGAAATAATTGTACAATATTGATTTAGGTTCGGGTGCTTGGAACATATATATAGGATATGTCGTCAGAATTTGAGGACACTAATCCGTCATACGTTTCAGATGGAAGTAATCTGTCTGAAGTAGTGGCCCCATCTCAAAACTTAAATAATGATCTGAAGAGTGGTTTCGAACATGATGATAGAAACGACATTGGTGCAGATTCGACAAGGTCATCTAGTCCATTCGTATCAAATCCAGATTTGTTGTACAGAGACCAATTCTCTCCAGTTGCAAGTTCTTTCAACGAGGAAGAATCAATATCACGCCGAGTCCAAGATATGGATACAAGCATTGCAAGTCTTCAAGAAACAATGGGCGAAATTAAATTGGGAGATAGGAGTAAGACTAATAATCATTCAATAATTGGGGATGAAAGTTTTCACAATTCGAGTATGGATACAACACGGTATAATGAAACACAAGCACAATTTGATCGTGATTTAGACTTCGATCAAGAAGTACAAGACCGTAACACAGCGAGCCCTCTTAGAAATAAAAAGCCTATATCACCTTGGAAACAACTTCGGTCAGTATCTACTACTGTACCTGAAAATATGGGAGATATTCCTAAATTGCATTTTAATCAATCTAATTGTTTCAACGATAACACTAAGCAGGCACTTACCCATGACACCACTGCAATTGCCAAAATTAATGAGCTAAATAAACAGGTAACTGGATATAGAATTCAAATAAAGCTATTCAAACAGTTTTTGCAGCATTTAATCGATAAAACTCGCTACAGTAATGCAGAAAATGGATTTGATATCAGTGAATTAAACCATTTCCAGAATAATCTTAACGGGCTATCACCATTGAAATCTACTGGGATACAATCGGGAGGTGCAAATTCAGAGTTTGAAGATAATTTGTCTCAAAATTATGACGAGCTACTCAAATTGAATGAAGATCTTTATTTAAACTTGGAAGATTTTCAAAATAAATTGCATGATAAGGAAATACAGCTAAATAAGACTAACATATATATGAGAGACTGTTCCCGAATGATAAATGAAATTTTAGAATTACTTATTGGCGATCCTTCTACCGATGACTCGTCAAAACAGGCTTTAACTAAGTGCTTAGATGATACATCTGGAGAAAGTAGCTCTTCAAAATCACTAGAAACCAAACTTTATGTTGTTCGGTTGGAGCTTCGAAAGAAGCTAGAATCTAAGAATCGCAGTTACCCTTCACCGCCTCCTTCAAACCCAGAAAAAGAGCACATAGAATTATCAGGGTATATAACAATTATTCAAGGGCTTATAACATCACTAGACAAGGTTCAAAAAGAATTTTCGACTCATAAACAAGACACATCGAAAATCCAAGAAGACTTAAAAAAGGAGGTCGAGAGTACACAAACAATACGAACAAATTATGAAGCACTATATTACAAGTTCAATCAATTATGCAAAACTTTAGAAATGTCTAGACCAGACGATGGTGACAGTGAAATACGGAAGCTTAGACTAGAAAATCAGAAATTGAGAACCATAAACAACACTGTTGATAACAAATTTGATGAATATCAGAAAATTATTGACAAATTACAAAAGGAAGTGAACGACTTTCAAAAACATTACAACAATAGCTCAGTAGGCGAAACAAGTGAATGGTTAAAATCATCTAATGAAGGGCTGCATCATAACGACTTATTGCAGTCATATAATGAGATAAACCAACTTCAAGAACAATTGAAGGATCTTACTGAACGCTATAAAAATCTACAAGATGAATCTTCAAATACGATATCTACATTGAGCAATCAATTGAATAACAAAAGGCAGGAGAGCTTAGCCCTGAGTGCAAATCAAAGAGTTACTGACCAACTTAAAAATGATTTAGAAATCGCAGTTGAAAAGCAACGTGTATTGAAAGCAGAGAAGATAAGATTGTCCTATAGTCTCGAATCTCTTACAAATGACAAGATATCTTTGCAGACTACTATTAGAAGTTTGACTGAAAAGATTGCTACCTTAACGGTGGATGCGCCACAACACAAGAAAGATGAAATGAACGAAGGTCTTGAAAAATTGAACGTATTAGAATATCAATTAAGCGAATTGCTTCTGCGTGATATTCATGTATTTCAAAAATTTCTTAAATCATTTATCAAGATTGCAGATGATTCTTCTTTAAAAGAACCTAAAAGGAAAATTGATACCTTAACAAAGAAGATTACGCAGGAGAGAAACTCTGAGAGTAATGATCAAAGAACACTGTGGAATATTTCAGAATTGAATACCATCCGAGAGTATCACAAATCAGTGTTTGATTACTTTGCTAGAGCAGTAGATATTATTGTCAACGATCATGTCAAACTTTTATTGAAAGAGAGCGAACATACTTCACAAACTAGTGAATATGTTAATAAATTGCACAAAAGAATAGACGAATTAAACAGTGTTAATGACGATTTGACAAGACAGCTAGATTCCTACTACACCGATGACAGTCATAATGATACTACTCAAAATGCAAGTTTTACTTCAACTGGATCGAAAATGAGGATAGCTGAATTAACTAATAGATGGAAAGCTGAAAGAGAAGCAAGAGTTTACGAGAATCAAGAAGCACAGAAAAGGCTAAAGGAGTTAGATAGAGAAAATGCTAGGTTAAGACAGGAACTTGATCAAGTATCCTAGGTTTTATGTACTAATATATAACTGTGTATTAAAGAATTACACAAAATCACAATTTTCAGCATCAAAAATTTTTTCAACGCGAACACATCTTAAGTATGGAAGTATCAAGACCTTTATCAATTTCTATTTCAAGTATAAAGGCCTAAATATGAACAATAATATGTCTGAACAAGAATACAGGAGCCTCGAGAAAGAGGTTCAATTAGACGACATTGACTTTTCTGATTTGGAAGCTAAATACGCAGTTAATTCTGATATTGGCATGGATAATTATGTCGTTGTCGATGGTGCTCCAATTGCTCCTGAGGCTAAGGTTCCTATTTTAATCAAAGTTTTAAAGAAGTTATTCAACACTGTTGGAGAAGTTGTCGAAGGCGATGAAGGAATTTATATGCCATTAGAAGATGGTAAATCTAAAGGATATTTGTTCGTCCAGTTTAAAACCGCTCAAATGGCAGAAGCTGCTATCCAACAATTGCATGGTAAGAAATTGGATCAAAAGCACAGATTATTAGTCAACAAGTTAACTGATATTGAAAAGTTTGGTGCAGAAGGAAATGTCCAAACAGAATTCCAAGAACCTGAAATTCCACCTTTCAAGAGTCATGGTTATTTGAAATCATGGTTACAAGATGAACAAGGTCGTGATCAATTTGCCTTACACTTTTCTGAAACCGTTGGTATTTATTATAACAAGAAAAAGAATGATCCTGAACCAGTTATTGAACCAAGAAAGGGATTTACTTCCAAATATGCAAAGTTTTCTCCATTAGGTACATATTTGTTTTCTATTCACCCACAAGGTATTCAATCATGGGGTGGTGATGGATTTCAAAGTATTACTAAGTTTATCCATAATCAAGTCCGTTTAATTGATTTTTCTCCAAATGAAAAATATATGGTTACATTGTCTCCACTTCCAATTGCTTTGCCAGATGATGCAGCAGAGAGATCTGTTTTCCCATTTGGACCAGAAAGTAACGGTCATAAATTAGTTATCTGGGATATGGCTACTGGTGAACCTGCTAGAACTTTTGCATTACCACCACATTTAGAAGGTCAGAAGGATATGCCATGGCCATTAGTCAAATGGTCCCACGATGATAAATACTGTGCACGTCAAGGTCCTGGTGCTTTAGCCATTTATGAAACTCCATCGTTCCAATTATTAGATAAGAAGTTAGTCAAGGTAGACGATATTGTTGACTTCGAGTGGGCTCCAGCCGGTGTTCATCTTTCTGATTCTAAGGCGCAAAATGGTGAATACATTTTATCGTACTGGACTCCTGAAAGCTCGAATCAAACTGCAAGAGTTGCCTTGATGCAAATTCCATCGAGACAAGTTATTAGAACTATCAATTTATTCCAAGTTAGTGATTGTAAGATGCACTGGCACGGTGAAGGTAAATTTTTGTGTGTTAAGGTTGATCGTCATACTAAGTCTCGTAAGACATTTTTCTCTAACTTAGAATTCTTTAAAGTTACTGAAAAGGATATTCCTGTTGAAAAATTAGAGTTGAAGGATGTGGTTTTCAACTTTGCATGGGAACCAAGATCTGAAAGATTTATCACTATTTCCAGATTAGATGATGGTAACCATAATCCATCTATCGCTAAAAATACCATTTCTTTCTATGCACCTGAAGTCCTGTCAAAGGGTAGAGTTACAAGCTCTAAATACACATGTTTCAAGCAAATCCATGACAAGCATTCTAACACAGTTTGCTGGTCTCCAAAGGGTAGATTTGTTGTCGTTGCTACAATTTCAAAGTCTAGTGGTGAATTAGAATTTTATGATTGTTCATACGAGGAAGATAAACCAGCCAATAGTAAGGTCAATGGTAATGTCAAATTATTAAAGGCAGAAAAATACTCTGGTATGACTAACTTGACATGGGACCCATCAGGAAGATTCGTTGCTGCTTGGTCCTCATCCTGGGCACACTCAATTGAAAACGGTTATAGATTATTCGAATTTACTGGTAATATGTTGAAGGATAATACTATTGACCATTTCAAAGAATTCATCTGGAGACCAAGACCACCTTCTTTATTGAATGCTGCTGACAGAAAGAAGATCAGAAAGAACTTACGTGAATACAGTGCTCAATTTGATGAAGCTGATGCTATGGAAGCTGATGCTGCTAGTAGAGAAGCCATCTTGTTACGTCGTAAATTATTAGAAGAATGGAAGGCTTACAGAGCTAAGCATGCTGCTAACGGTTCAAAGAAGAATGAAGTTCAAGCTGAAATAATTGAGGAAATTAAAGAAGAAATTATTGAAGAAAAAGAAGAGGTTGTTGAGTAGACAATTAGTTTTTACATAGTTCTATGTTTGTATAAGTACCATTTGCCAATTTTTTATATATATTTTTATTCGTTCATTAAAAATATTACACGAATTATAAAGTGATTATTATGTACATGTATCGTTTTTCATCTATAGAGCGTCTTAAATAGACTTGGTTTTCAACTGAATTCCATGCCATTTCGAAATCTCGTCTTTTAAAACTTCGTTGACTAATCTATGTTGCTTGATCATTGGAATGCCTTTGAACTTCTCACTTTCAACAAGTATAGCAAACATAGAGCCACATCCTCCCGAAACGTCTTTCACCTGTAAGTTCTTAGGTTGGAAGCTTTCTTTCAAAATTCCAAATATCTTTTTTTCATAATCATCCATAAGTTGTTCTTCGGCTGTAGACATGGAGCGGAAGCCAGTCAAAATTTTTGAAACTGGAAATCTTATCCCAGAATATGGCTTTGCCATATAGGCTTGTCTAGACATAATACTTCTCAACATGTTGTGCAAATTATGAGTTTATAAATCTTCAATAATCAACCATCTAGTGAATTCTTACTAATAGTAAAGATTTACTGGTTGAGATCAAAGCATCACAAAACCGAAAAATCATGTTTATCAATCACGGTATTAATACTTCTTACTGTTAAAATATGCAATTGTGATGTCTCAAGATACAATAAGAATTGTAGTATGTGGTGATGAGTTTGTTGGAAAGTCTTCCCTCATAGCTTCTTTGATAAAAGAAAAATTTGTGTCTAATATACAAAGAGTAATACCCCCGGTAACAATATCTCGAGATGATTATACAAACAGTTTATCAGATTATGTATCTGAGACTGGAAATAGCAACTCAGATCCAAATAGATCTAAAACAAAATACACTAGAAATGGATTTAAGGATAGTGATAATATAAATCAGAATGTGCTGAAATATGTTCCGCAAACAACAACAATAATTGATACTACATCTTCTGATAAGACAACGCTACAGAAAGAATTGAAGCGGGCTGATGTAATATGGTTGGTTTATTCGGATCACTATACCTATGAAAGAATATCATTACATTGGATGACAATGTTCAGATCTATGGGGGTTAATTTGCCGATAGTGCTATGTGCTAATAAATCTGACTTATTAACACAAGATTCATCGATATCCATTAAAACACAGAATTCAGATGAATTTGTTCCTTTGATTAACGAATTCAAAGAAATAGAAGCATGTGTACGTTGCAGTGCCAAGGATAACTATAATGTAGTGGAGGCATTCTATTTGTGCCAAAGAGCAATTACACACCCCATATCTCCTATCTTTGATTCAAAGGAAGGCAATTTAAAACCAGCAGCTGTTGCAGCTTTGAAGCGTGTGTTTTTCTTGTGCGATAAAGACCAAGATGGCTATTTGAGCTTTAACGAATTTTCTAACTTACATCAAAAATGCTTTAACCATGCATCAAGTGAAGAAGAGTATCAAAATATTCTCTATGCCATTAATAAGATTATATACCCCGACGTAAATTCAAAAGGTGAGACAATTGGGATATCAGTAGACGGTTTCATAATATTGAATAAAATGTATGCTGAACGAGGACGTCATGAAACTATATGGGGTATACTAAGAACATTTCACTATACTAATTCATTATCTTTAAATGATAAATTTTTGTTTCCTCAACTAGATGTTAACCCAATCTCAAGTGTGGAATTGGGTCCTATAGGGTATAAGTTTTTAGTTGATCTATTCCTTAAGTTCGACAAAGATAACGATGGTGGGTTGAATGAAGAAGAATTGGCGAATTTATTTCTTCCAACACCTGGGATTCCAAAATTGTGGAAAGAGTCACAATTTCCGTCTTCAATCGTTCGTAATGAAGAAGGGTACGTTTCACTCCAAGGATGGTTGGCACAATGGAATTTGACCACATTTTTAGATTATAAGACAACCCTCGAGTACTTGGCATATTTAGGATTTGATGATAACAGTTCGATTAGCGCTGTGAAAATTACAAAGCCAAGAAAAAGAAGGCAAAAACAGGGTAAATTCTATAGACAGCCTGTTAACGATAGAAATGTATTCAATTGTTTTATATTGGGAGCACCAAAATCTGGTAAAACTTCTTTGCTAGAACTGTTTTTACGAGGTTCATATAGTGATGTATATTCTCCGACCATTAAGCCTAGAATATGCGTTAAAGATATCGAGTTAAGAGGTGGTAAACAGTGCTATTTAATACTCGAGGAGCTAGGGGAACAAGAGCCAGCTATACTTGAAAACAAAAAGAGATTGGATCAATGTGATGTGATTTGCTACACATACGACTCATCAGATCCAGAGTCGTTTCAATACTTGGTAGATTTGAGAGAAAAATACTCTTCATTATTGGATGAAGTACCTTCTGTATTTGTTGCATTAAAAGCGGACTTAGACAAACAAGAACAAAGATCAGATGTCCAGCCTGAAAACTATACTAGAGACTTGTTCTTGAGCTCTCCACTTCATATATCCTCTACGTGGACTACCTCTTTGCACGAACTATTTATTCAATTGGTGGATGCTGCGAAAATGCCCAGTTCTTTCACTCCTGGTCTTGAAAGAGAACCTGAAAATCCAAATAATGAAAATGTCAAGCACATAGTTATGGCTGGAGGGGCGGTGTCATTAATGGCTATAGTATCTATATGGATTTGGAAGAGTTCATTACAAAGCTCAAGAACTTGATGTTTTATGTCTCCAGGAGGCTCATAACCAATTAGTTCTAATTTTTTTTTTTTTTTTTGCGAAGCTCATCCTATAATATTTGCTATGTAGAATATATAATATTCGTTGAATAGTTCACTAATAGAGTAAATAATCATGTCAGAACAAGAATTTAAGCCTGTAACGGTCGATAAACCCATTCCAAACACCTATGATTTGGGTAACTTGGCTACATTTGATCCAAATCCTTTGGATAATGAAAAATTAAAAGATGGATCTCAGAAAGAAGAATACTTAGCATCTGTTACCAGAGACAATGTACAATTATTAATCAACCAAATATTATCTTTGCCTGTCAAGACTACAACTGATAGTCATGGATCTTCTACAGGTCAAAATTCCACCATGACTTTGATTCAATTACCTGATCCAACCACCCAGTTACCTAGAGAAAAAGCCATTCCAAAGACCAAGGCACCTACAAAATGGGAACAATTTGCTGCCAGAAAAGGTATCAAGGCTAAGGCTAAGGATGGTAAGATGGTATACGATGAAGCAACTGGTGAATGGGTTCCTAAGTGGGGTTACAAGGGTAAAAATAAGGAACTTGATGATCAATGGTTAGTCGAAGTTGACGATAAAGTTAAAGGTACAGAAGATGAATTAATTGATCCAAGAACCTTAAACCGTGCGGAAAGAAAGAGATTAATTAAGAAGAATGAATTACAACATAAACGTAATTTAAAAAACCAATCTTGATGTATCAGAACATAATAGAAAATCCAAAATACTGCAATCGCAAAAAGGGACTTGCAAACTGTCTCATCATATTCACTTAACATAATCCGGTTTATTAGCATATATTTCTAGGGCTTTTTGGTTTTTTTAATGTTTTGAAGCCAACATTCCATTATTACTTTAGGCCAAAAATTTCAATCTAGAAGTATTTTCCACAATTAATAATGGCTACATATTTATGTATACTATCTCCATTTCTAATCTTATAGTAGCTATTTGTAATGAATCAGTTCAGTAATAGTATCTTCGTAGTTATCGTAGAGTCGTGTATATAAAAACATAACTTGAGATTAAGTTAGATGAAGAAACTGGACTACATTTTGAATTGTTTTGATAGCCAAGATGAGTGATGAATATCAACCAGATGAGTATCTTCCAACGATAGATGTGTGTAATAATCAATTGATTTAGGAGCTTACCATTATCAATTACTATAGAGAAAGTACTAACACTATTCTTAGGCAATCTTAAGCGTTGCAAACCTCGAACAAGTAACGGTCAAAAAGATAAGGAATGCCTTACAAGAGCTATTTGGGGTAAATCTAAAGCCACATAAGGTACGTAGGATAAGTCAACTCGCTATTGACCCTTTTTTTTTGCATATTTAACCTGAACCAATCGATGATTAACATCTGTAACAGAAGGATATAAATGAAATAATATTACAAAGATACTATGATCTTGTTAATAAGAGAAAAGAAGATGAAAGAACGGAATCAGAAAGAAAGAAAGAGATAGAAAGACAGGATTCATTGATGGCAATAAGGCTCCTGAAGTCAAATATCAAAACGCCCGTAAAGCGTCAGAAAAAGGCAACTCCCAAAAAGACAACCGAAAAAGATCCTACAAAAAACAGAAACAGCGCTTTCTTCCAGGAACAGAATTTGTCAAATGAACTTGCAGATGTTATAGGTGTAGAAAAATGTTCTAGGCCTCAGGTAGTGAAACTTCTTTGGGCGTACATTAAGGACAACAATCTCCAGAATCCTGACGATAAGAGGCAAATCATATGTGATACCAAACTCCATGCGTTGTTTAAGAAGAGTAAGTTTTTTTTACTTAGATGATTGCAATTACGGTGTTAGACCCCAAACTTATTTGATCGCAATAGAGTACTAACTATTTTAGAATCGGTAGGTGCCTTTGAAATGAACAAAATCTTGAGTCATCATATATTCAAGCCAGAGGAGGTTCATCAACCTACTATTAAGGCAGACTATAATAGTGATTCTAGTGTAAATACTGAAAAACCAAAGCCCGTAAATTCCAAGATTAAGAAACTGGAACCAGAGGTTCAAGATTCTTCATCAGAAAGTGAGGAACAATAGTCTAGTGCTTATACTACATGTCATCATTTGTTTCGAGATATTCCAATTACATGATGAAAATATTGTTAAATAGTGAAAATTCTCTGTACTTTGTAACCTAACAACCATATAGACCTTATTCAAGAGTACTATGTATTATTATACTAGTTAGCCCATTATTTAGAACTGTGGTTATATACAGGGCCTTTGTTTTCAGCTGTTTATTTACTAACTGAGCACTATTGCGACATCATCTTATGACAGTAGGTTCATCAATACTACATTATTTTAAACATTTATAGTTTGATTCTAATCCTTTATGCTGACTAGGAGTAAGGAGCCCTCAAGCAGGTCTCAGAGTATTGCGTCTAGTACGTTAATGTCCGAGGACAAGGCCTATGACAATGTTGATCTAAATAAATTATATGAAGCAGTATTGAAGATATCAATACTAGAATATTGCAATGAAGCGAGGTTCAGGACTCCGATAATAGAAGAGCCTCAACCTAATCCTTCCAACGGATCGTTCAATTCTTCGTCTACAGGTTCTAAGCTCCTGAAAAGTTCCAAATCTTCCGAAACAAACGACCCTAAACTTCCGGCATATTTGCTAGCAAGCTTAGAGACAAGGTTAAATTTGATCGCTATGAAAAAGTCGGGAACAAATCTTGACGATATGACGAGAAGATCATTATTGAGGCTTTATAGCGAATTACTTGACCCTAAATTCAAAGCAGATGTAGCAAGTGTGAATAAGCCAGAGTATTTGGTAATGAAATTCGTATCATGTGCTAATAAGGAACTAGTTAAAATTGGTACTATACCTAGTAGTGACATGAGTTCAGTCATATTTAAACAAGCTGGGAGCTTTGTGCAAATTTTGATAAGTTTGATTCAAAAAGATAAGAATAGTGATTCTATTATTGCAAAATTACAAGAACATAAGGAATCTCTTAAACCGAGCAACAAATCAAAACCAACACCATCAGGCACATCTTCTTCTCCTTCTATTACGGTAGGTTCGACAGTGAGATACCCGCAACCATCCTTCAGAATAACTGATATGGACAAAGGTCATATTAATTTGATCACAGAATTGTTCTCAATCGATCAGATCAAATTACAACAAGATATCTTTAAATATAAAGATCTATCTCAACCTAAAGCATTGCATAAAGATATAAATCAGATTTTATTTTACTTGGACAAGGACCTAGGCCAATTCACTTCGAAAAGCTTCTCGAGCGAAAGAGCATACACCGAATGGAAACAAAGAGAGAGACATGGTTGTGAACAATTAATGTCAAAATATCAGATACCTTCAAGCATGAAGCTTTTACCTGTCCCACCTTTACCTTCAGGTGAAGACTTCTATATCTTTCCAACATCTTCATCGACAAAATCGTTCTTTGTAATATTGGCTAAATTATGTCTCGAATATGAAAATAGAACGAATTCCGCAGAGTTAACATCATCTGAAAAGCCCTTTTTCTTAAAGCAAGTCCTGAATCTTGTAGGCATATGTGCAAGATTCTGGAGAATTGATTTTCCCACAAGAGCCGTTTCATTGTATACGGCTGCTCATTTGTCAGGTATACTTAAAGACCCGCTATTCGAACAGACTAATACTAAAGAACTTGGACCAATAGATATTGAAATGACTACGAAAATGTTTTTTGCCTGCAAAAGAGTAATTGAAGAACAAGGAAAGCTAGACTGGGATGAAAAAGTCGACTGGTCTTCTAAGGACCAAGATGAGTGGGTTAAGAATTTATCATATTCATATAATGAAGTTTTATTTGGAATCAAAGAATCATTAGTCCAAATTTTCAATAAGACAGCTAAACCAAAATTTGGCCCTTACTTGGCATTTTTGGGCGATTTCCTAGAATCTGATGCTTTATTTTCATCAGTAGAACAGATGGGATTACCTAGAAAGTGGGAAAAAAAGTTATCAAAAACTTTGCTTAGAACTTCAGAGATCAGGTATGCTGAGTTACTAAGCAACTTACCTAGAGACAACACTCTTGATATTGTTCATATTTTGGATATTTCTGATAGCATCGTAAATGATATTAGAATGTTACAAAAGAGATATAAAAATCCTTTGTTAGGCTTTCTAAATGTTTCTCGTACTGTGGCAGCCGTTATAACAGGTATGTTTGCTGCTGATGCAAAAAATATTTTGAAACACATCGATGCTTACGCTAAAACTAAAGGTCAAGTATTGCCCTATGGTGATGTATTGGAAGCATATAAATCATTATATGAAATACGCAACATACATAATCAAGTTTCGTCCGCTGGGTCAACATTTAAATTTAATTTGGAAGGATTCTTTTATCCATTTTTGGAAGAATGGATCACAGAAAGCGGTGAAAAAATATCTAGCATTATCCACCAAGCTATAACTAATGATAAATTTCAACCTATAGATTTGAATAAGGATGATAAGAAGTTTAGTTCTTCAGTATTGGACATTTTCACATTAATCAAAGAGTTTTTGAAGATCTTAAACGGCTTGAACTGGTCAAACGAATTTCAATTAGCAAAAATGTATACCACTTTGTTGAAAAGTATATCGGATGGGGTATTGTATTACGCTAACACGATGTCAGACAAGATTATTAAGGACTTGGATGAAGAAGAACAAGCCAAGCTCGCATCTGAGGCTAATGCTGACACAATAGAAAAGAGAAAAAGTGGTAATTGGTTTGATGAAGTTAAGAATGTTGTTTCAAATATACAGAATAATACCAATAAACTTGAGATAATGGAACCTTATAACTTCAAACCAGAATTATGCATTGCTTTAAATAACTTAGATGCAATGATGCAACAGTTGACGAAGTTGGAGGATATGCTAGACCCTGAGATGATTTCTAATACAGTTGCGGCGTTTGATCCTAGCTTGCAGAAAAATTACACTAGTCATATTTTTTCATTACGAATAATCAAGGCTGAAAATTTAAAATCTGCCACTTCATCATCATCTGTACACCCATACATTACTATGATTGACACAAAGGTTCGAAAAACAATTGGTAAAACTAGAACCATCAATAATAACTGCAATCCTGAATGGGATGAAGAATTTGAATTAACGATTCCTGCTAATTCATCTCTTACTATATCTACAACTGTTTGGGATGAGAAGTTCGGGACACATTCTATATGTGGTAGAGCTTTATTGCAACTAGATCCGAGAAGATTCAAGCATGATGGTATTCCACAAGAAATATATCTTGACTTAGATTCACAAGGTAGAGTCTTGGTTGAAATAGCCGTTGAAAGCGAAAGAGTGGATGCAATTTTTGTTATGGGAAGAGCTCACAGGTGTTTGAAAAGATGTCAAGAAAGATGCATTAAATTAATTGTTGAAAAGTTTTCCAGATTTATTCATTACTGCTTCTCAAGAGCAAACTTGAAATCTATATGTGGAAGCAATGGAAATATAAAGCCTACGCAAGAGCAGATGGATAATGCAATGATGCCTTTATATACTTACTTGAATCTGAATTTGCAAGTTCTAGCCGAATATTTAAGTAAACATTTGTTAATGAAAGTTATGTTGGCTACCTGGGCTGTGGTTGTTTCTAGTGCCGATGAACTTTTGTTACCTAAACTCGCAAGCGCTACTACCTTTCATCTTTCAAATATTGGCTCTAAACTCAAGCCTAACAATACAAGCAACTCCAGTAGTGGTTGGCAATCTGCTGTTAGTTCAGCAATGGCTAATGTGACAAACTCTATAGGCATCAGTGGCTTTGGAAAGCTGTTAACTAATACAGAACTTGAGACGGTTTTTGCCTGGCTCCATTTCCTATGTTTTGATTTCTTTCACAACGATGGTAATGGTCCACCAGTTAAAGACTTGAAGAACGAGCAATATCAAGCATTATTACTTGTGCCAGTTTATTATGATGGTGATGTCAATTACCTAACTCTGGAAGTTGATCGATTATCTCCTGCGTTCGTTATGATGTTACGTGGTAGAAATAATTTCGATGACACGTCGTCAGATAGTAAAAAGTCTAAAAACGGACAACGAAGTATGAGTAGAGCTGGTACGATAGTGAGAAATAAAACAATTATTGCCAACGCAACTGCGAAAGCAAGAGCACAGGCTGATAAAGAAGCCCAAGAAGCAAAGTCTGATCCTATTGCTGCTCAGACATTAACTGAAGACATAATACTTAGGCTTTTGTTGATTAAAGATGAAAAGGCCTTTGTTGCTCGAAGATTGGAACAAAGGGAAAAAATGGCTCACAGTATTGCAACGGAGAGGTTGGCAAAAGCAGCGGCAGAAGGTAGATTTGCTAGGCCTTGAATATATTAGGGATTTTTACATCAACACTACTTAAATCATTTTATATTAAATAACTTTTTTCTGCAATTCGTCAAAAGGAATAACTTAAATATAGACTAATTGACATACATAACGAAATAACTTAACAACGTAATAATAAAAATACATGAACCTTCATGTTTAAAGTACATTTATTCAAGTTCCACAATCCTAATCCTTTCTATCATTCCCACTCGTGGAAGTTTGTTCAGATTGTTGACCCTCTGCCAACATTGATGCATCATCCTGATTAACAGTTGTTTCATCTGCCGTGGTATCATTACCATCCTGTTGGATTGTGGTGTCATTGTTTTCTTGAATAACTGTAGTATCAGCATCATTGTCGTGACCAGCCTTACTACTGATAGTTGGTGCGGCAAGTAATTTACTTGGAGCCGAATTTTCTGTTTCTTCCTTATTTGAGGAATTTTCAGCATTTTCATTTTGTTTCTCTCCTTCATTTTCAGGTTCAACCACTTCTTGTTCCCCCTCTTCTCTAGCCTCCTTTTTCTCTTCGTTTTCTTTAACAAATTCTTTATAAGCTTTTGCACCCTTCTCGAATAAAAGTTTGACTTTTTCTTCGCAGGTATCAGTATTATCATCCGATAACATCAGTTTCCATCCAGTTTCTTCGTCATTTATCAAGTTCTTCAATGCTTCGACCTTATCTGTCTTACTCTTAGAGTCTTCTGATCGTTTGTTATAAACAAAATTAGAAGTAAACTCATCATGCGTGTCAGCTTCAAAGAATAAGCGATACGAATTTTCACAAACTGATACCTTCAACCCAGTGTTAACACGACCATCACATTGATCTTCATCGACACTTTCTATGAATGATTTCGAAAAAGGCATATTAATTTTTGAAGCAGATACACCTTCAGTTGGGTGTGACATAACATAACTAGTAACGTAATAATTATACTTCTCTTCTGCGTTTTCATGATCATTAATTGTTAGGTCGTCAAGACTAACAAATTGAATATTAACTGAATTATCACCTTCCTTAAATGTAATCTTGAACATGTTTTCTTCTGTAGTCATGAGAGATCTCACTTGCATACGATACAATATTTGATCCTTCGCGGTTGAAATTGGATTTCCTCTATCAGATTCAAATAAAACCATTATTTCAGAAGTCTTGCTATCTGTTACGATTGTATGCATATGCTTAACCATAGCTTGCACAACCTTATCTATGGTATAAATTTTATAGGCCTTATTTCTATAACCTTGACGAAGTGTTTCTTCAAACCATTGATGTTCTATATCATCCTCAATTAATTTTTCTGATAAGTTTAATACTTGCGCATAACAGTCTTTCGATCCCGAAATTTGAATTCCCATATCTTCAAGTTGATGAGAAAGCAAGTTTAAATCTTTCGCAAATTGAGGAGATTTCCTACTCCTAATCTCCTTACCAACAGTTGCATTCATAGCTTTGATTTCCTTCAATCTTTCATATAATGTTCTTAAATGACGGAAAAACACGTAGATGATCGTGTTACAAAACAAATTATATTTGTCACGCTTTTCGTCGTTATTATTAGTGTTATTTCCTAAGTCAGGTTGGGAAGAAGTGGCCTTAATCCATAATTCGCTCAATTTATTAACGTCTTCTGCATTTTCTTGATCTTCAGATTCGCTTGAGACTTGGGAAGGAGATTCAGCGCGATCATCTTTTCTTGATTTTGACTGCTTTTTCAAGACGTCACGTAACAAATCGTTTTCACGGTGACGCTTCTTCGCAGTCGTGCTGTCGACTTGGGTTTCAGAAGAGTCGCCGATCGAATCATCTGCATTCTTCTCTTCAGGTTTGTTGACTTTTTCTCTTTCAGACAAAGATTCCTTAATCTGTTCAGTTGATATATTAAAGAAGCGAGACAAGAAAAATTGAAAGAATTGACTCAATTTTTCCCTATCATTGGCGGAATAGTTTGAAGAACGATTTATAAAAACATCAGCTAATTTAAGAATGTCTATCAAAATTTCATAATCTTCAAACTTATAATTTAGTTGTTCTTGTGGCTTTGGAGTTAAAGGATGTAATCTTTTGTTCTGTTGCTCGACCTTGACAGTACTTATTTCACTAACCAACTGTCTAGTAGTTAATAGCTTTTTATCAGCCTGTTTAAAAGTCAAACCCAAATGGTCTAAAGACTTATAGAATACCTTTTGCTCCATCTCTCTCCATACCTTATTCCATTCTCGTTGAGATCTTTTCCATTCTTCATCTTTTTGCTTTAATCTCTTTAAAACAATAGGAACAGCAATTGCTGGGTTTTCATGAAGGGCATCAATGACTTCGAACCCACGGTCCTTGTCATAAATTTTTCTAAGGACTTTCTTATAAATTGTCATTGATGTATGGCCAAGACCAGGAGGTAACTTAAAGCTAGCTTTCTGTTCAGGAGTCATATTAGCGATCCTATTGGCAATTGTTTCTAATGTCTGGATTGTTCTCAAGTTGGATTCCATGATAAAATCAAACTCGTGTCTTTCTTCCTCAATTTTGAAAAGAATTTCTTCATATTGATTCTTACGATGAGCAATAAATCCAGAGTCTTCCGATGCCCATGTTGGATGACCGACCCATTCATCATTCAATACCTCCCAGCACATTTCGTCCCTTCCAGAACATGGCATGTATGTTTCTGCTTTAGGCAATTGTCTGTAAGAAGGTCCATAAGCTCTACACAATGACAATTCTAGTTGATGCTTTTTGAATGTAATTGATTCAATATTTTGTGGCTTGACTTCATAACCCACAAACATTTTAAACCAATTAAGCAAGTCAGGGTGATTATCACCTATGAATGAATCTACCCTTTCAACCAATGTTTCTTTGTCAATAATGTCTTGAGAAAATAAATTCAAAATCTTTAAAAATTCATTGTAAGTTTGCTTGTTTCCAATTGCTTTCTTAACTTTATCGAAGAAACTTATCTCTTCCAGCATTGAGGATTTAGCAGCTGTAGAAGGTGGCACAGGTTCCGGTATACCGGGAACCAATGTCGGATTTGTAACAACAGCTCCAGATTTATTTATAGTGGACCCAATTCTATTACTTTTAGAAGGCTGTGCACCTGTACGTAAACTGGAATATTGAGATTCAGAATTATAGTTGTAATCATAAGGATAAGCCTCCGATACAGACCCCTTCTTTCTTCTCATCATATTTGGATCTTCATTCGCTTCAAGAATTGAAGCAACATCTTGCTTTCCAGGCACACCAGAAATCATTGGATAACCATGCTGAAATTGTCCTTGGGATCCATTCGGGCTTAAACCAGTTGATCCCGTGGGTGGTTGAAAGTTACCAACTGGTGGTAGCTGCGAGGTACCATTGTTTGCACCATAGAACAAGTTCTCTTGGACCTGTTGCTGTTGCAAATACCCTTGATTACTAGTGTCAGGTAAGAATTGCTTGAAGTCATCCAATAAATCTGGGGAATTCGAAAATAGAACCGTTACTTGTTCGTATACCTCACCAATTGGTTTCTGCTCGCGTTGGTACGTTTGTAAAATCTCTAAGAATTGTTTGTAAATATCCGGCTGATTTGCAAACCTAGTTTTGATTTTGTTGACGTAAGAAATGGCATGATTAAATTCAATCTGTCCACCATTCTGTTGTTGTTGCTGTTGTTGTTGCTCGTGTGATAGAATGAAACGCCCTGGGGACGATCCAGGAATAGGTGGCTGATTCGCATGTTGCATTTGACCAGGTTGTTCCTGGTTAGAATCATTGCCCCAATTCTGGTTATATCCAATATTTGGTCTTGTGGTTGTTCCTGTTGGAGTTGTGACCCTTATTGGATTTGGATCGGAAGGGTCTAGGGAACATTCAATACGATATCCCGGGGGCAAAAACGTATTAAAGCCTTGAATCAAATTTGGATGTCCTCTAAACAAGGTAGAGACCCTATCGATGACACCAGGGGTGTCGATGCTTTGGGATTTGAAGTCTTTCATGATATCCAAGAAGTTATTGTATACATCGGCTTGGTTATAGAACTGAATCTTAACTTGGTCCAAGTACGATAATGCATCTTTCACATTCAAGGGTCTATACACACTGCTTGTCGTTGAACGATTTGGCACTCCCTGTGGCATATTTGGAGGACCATTATTAATATGTTGTTCGTTACCGGCCGCAATAGTGGCTGGAGGCGGTAATTGATTAGGAGGGTTATTCAAGGCCGCATTCGATGGTCTTCGAAGTTCTTGCGGTGGTTTTGGTTGTTCTGGTGGTGGCTAGATATGTTAGTATCGGTTTTGCAATATTTTGCTCGCCCGTGCGTCGAGCCAAACCCGGTGAATATGAACATACTTGGTTGAAAGGCACCCCTTCGTGTCCAGGGTTAATGGATGGAATGCTAAACCCATGGCCCGGTTGTGGGTGGCCTGCTCCATTGCCTAGGCTTGGAAGGCTAGGTAAAGGATAAAACGGTTGCCCGCCTGCAAAGTTAGTTAGTATCGATTTCTTCACTTTTATCGTCGCGGTCGACCACAGCAGAAAGGTCCCAAAAACCCCCTGCTGGTCTATATATGTACATACCCGTCTCAAGAGTAGCCGGTGGTGGTAATACTGGCGGCTGTTGGCGACTAAAATTCGTTAGTAATTTGAATCCTTTTCAGTGTCTGGTGGAGTCTCCCAGAAGGCTTCTAGAGCTCCCCTAGCGTTGTGTCACGCTTTCTCCGGGGTTCTTTGGCCCAAAACTCCCATCCCTGTTCAAAACTACTTACTTGAACGGCTGGCTCAATGGACGCTGTTGATTATTCCAAGGATCTTGCTGATTCGTCATTACTCTAATCTAAAATA